AGTGAAAAGGGGGGGCCCAGGAGTTTGAACTTAAACCCCTGCAACCTCAACTAGTGAGTACACACACACACACACACACACACACACACACACAACACACACACATGCACACACATCCCACACACACACATGCACACACACACACAGACACACACGGGACACACACAGACACACACACACACCCACACACAGACACACACACAGACACACACAACACACACACACACAAACACACACACACTAGGTGAGTACACAAAACACACACACACACACACACACACACACACACACACAACACACACACCACACACACACCCCACACAATAAGAACATAAGAACATAAAAACGAAGGAACACTGCAGAAGGCCTACGGGCCCATGCGAGGCAGGTCCAAGTCCCCCTACCGGCTTAAGCCAATGAAACCCAACCTAGTCAGGTCAGGTCACTTTGACTTAAGGGAGGAAACGGCAACCGACCTGGTTAGCACCAGCTATGAGGTCCAACTCCAACCCACCCACAATCCACTCATGTATTTATCCAAACCTATTTTTAAAGCTACACAACGTTCTGGCCTCTATAACTGTACTCGGGAGTTTGTTCCACCATCCACAACTCTAATTACCAAACCATACTTTCCTATACCTTCCTGAATCTGAATTTTTCCAAACTTTAAAAACCCTTGCTGCGAGTCCTGTCTAGGCTAGATATTTTCAGCACACTATTTACAACCCCTTTATTTATTCCTGTCTTCCATTTAAACACCTCAATCATATCCCCCCTAATTCTACGTCTTTCTAGAGAGTGCAGATTCAGGGCCCTCAGTCTACCTCATAGGGAAGGTTTCTGATACATGGGATCAACTTTGTCATCCTCCTTTGTACATTTTCCAGAGAATTTATATCCATTTTGTAATACGGTGACCAAAACTGTGCAGCATAATCTAAATGAGGCCTAACCAAGGATGTATAGAGTTTTAAGAACAACCTAGGACTCCTATTATTTATGCTTCTTGATATGAAGCCAAGGATTCTATTCGCTTTATTTTCGAACACTTATGCAACTGTTTTTCCCTTGGTTTCAGATTACTGCTAACCAAACTCCTAAATCTTTTTCGCAATCCGTAATATTAAAATCTACAAATTTTTTAGTTTATATGTGGCATGGTTATTGTCGTGTCCAACATTTAGAACTTTGCATTGTCTATATAAACTGCATCTGCCACTTCTCCGACCACTGCATCAGTCTATTCAAATCTTCCTGGAGTGCTCGAATGTCCTCGTCGAATGGATTCGACGGCCTATTTTGGTGTCATCGCAAACTTGCCGATGTCGCTCTTTATGCCCCATCTATGCGTTTATGTAGATTGTGAACAGGGGGGCCCAACCTGACCCTGGGAACACCGCTCGTGACGTTTCCCCACTCTGATTTCTCCCGTTTATGCAAACCCGTGCCTATTTGTCAACCATGCCCTATCCGGGAAAAAAATTTTTCTCCTCCTTTTCCATGTTTTTAATTTTCCCAATAGTTCTGATGTGGGCCCTGTCAAAACCTTTTATGAAGCCCCATATACACAAAATCATATCATTCCCTGATTACCTCCTAAAAACCCTTAGTAAAAAAAGTTAATAAATTCGAAAGGGGGAACCCCCCTTTTTAAAAACCATGCTAAATTTTCGTTGATTAATTATTTTTTAAGGTGGCTAGGAACCCCTCGGCAATTATTGATTCCATAATTTTCCCACTATGGAGGTTAGGCTTTATTGGTCTATAGTTCAAGCTAAGGACCTGTCACTGTTTTGAAAATAGGTTCAATTGCATTTTCCACTTATCGGCACCATGCCAGTTGTAGGATTTTAAAAAGTTACCCAAAGGGTGTAAGCTCCTCTTACATTCCTTTAGACCCTTGCATCTTCGCTTCTTACTATCTATAATATCCAATTTCCTCTCAGCC